AATGGTAAGGATAATCTGGAATTTTCCAAACAGCTTTTCGCAGAAGCTCTAAATTGGAGTTTCTACTTTTATGTTATACAAAAGCGCTTTTGGGCTTTTCAAAAGCCGAGCTTTTAAAGGTGTTTGGCCCTGCTTCAGCTTTTGAAGTCGAAAAGCACTTCTAAAAGCCGGGCCAAACATAGGCATTAGTTCAAACTTTGGTTGTTGTCTAATGAGTTGATTCTAGCCTTCAGACAAGGTATAGAAACCTCTAGAAATACACGATACCCTTGATTTCATGCATTTAGGTCTCAACCCTAATAATTACAACATGCATTTTTGCGTATGCACCTCTTATTTCTACATTGTAAAACTTGAGTGTGGGGGTGTGTAGAGTGAACCTAAGGATGAGTTTTGTAGTTCAATTGATCAAGTGAGTTACCTAATGGTTTGTTTGAACATGTTTTGTGATTTTTATCTTTGTTAGCGATCCAACCAACGTAAGAGGTTCATTCCTCTTAGCCCTCACAACAAAGCAACCGGAATCGCCATTGATAAGAAGAACCACAAGTCCCAAGAGGAGAATCATGAACTCAAATTGAGGAGCAACCACAATAAAGTAACCAAAGGAGGCAATTGTGGACTATGATGAGTCATCTTCATAAGAAAGAGCCTTCGAAGTGAAACTACAATATGCTCCAACCGTACATCAAGACAACTTGGCATTTGAGGTCTAATTTTTATCTTTATATATTTTTAAATGCTTAGTATAAGTAGTAAATGAAATGTTTTTGGTAGATAGTTTATATATTTTGTGTTTGGATAAACCTTTCTTCCTCACTTGTGTTTGTGCTCGAATGTCAAATCAGATCAATGAAGACTTGCGCATTGAGTTCCATTTTTCCCTCGACTAAATCAACCCCCAATGGTAATGATTTGAAAACCTAACCTAGAACTCTCACATTGAGGACAATGTGACTCTCAAGTGTGTGTGTGTCGGGAGGGGGGGGGGGGGGGGTTGTATTGCTTTTTTGAATGAGTTCATAAATGTTTGCCAAGTCGATTGGTAACTTCCCTTAATGATGAATGTAAGACGTTTGTGATTGCATGTGTGAATGTGGTTGATTGACTGAATGGTTTGATGTAATTGAATGGCATATACTTGAAACCTTATTGTATGCCCAGTTTTTTTCAAATTTGAGGGTTCCAAGTAAGCCCTTTATCATGTTGTGTGATCACTTGCTATGAATCTTCGAATCTTTGTCTCATTTTCTCGACCAATGTTAAGGTCTATAGTGCATGCTTTGCTTGGGGAGATAGATTCGTGCATGATTCTTCGATGTATCCTAGTGTGCATGTTTGAAAAATGATTGTGGGACATGTTTTCATTTTGAGAAAACCCTTATTCTCCTAGCTAGGCCATCAGAAAGGTGCTCGGTTTAGTGTTTTCTCGCATACAAAGAGAAAAAAAAAAAAAGAAACAAAGAGCGAGAATAAAGTGGGGTGTAACATCTAATGCAACATGTTGTGGCAACCCGTCCTAGAGTAATGAGAGTGCCTTTCATCACAATGCACATGGAAGATCGAATAACTTTGTCGTGTCCATTTTCATCTTTTCACTACTTCCATTCTCCCATGTACGTCCCCTCATGGGCCGAGGTATAGGTAGGAGAATCTATCCCTACTTGCCCGGCTAACAAGCACACAATAATAAGTGCCTAAGTGCACATGCTCATCTCAAGATGAATGGCTACTCGAATAAAAACCCCCAAACTGAGACTCTAGATAGGAATAAAAGGTTGTTGAGAAAGTGAAGAAAAGAACTGTGTAAACATCGATCCTTTCACCTACCTTTGAGAGTTTTGTTTTTCTCCTTGCGTTTGTCTCCTTTCATTCCAGGACATGCTATCTAGGATTTTTCAAATCGAACCAAGCAACGGTGGAGGTAACCAAGCGAAGCTAGTCGCGCAAGGAAGGAGAAGGAAAATCATTTGGGAAGGAGAAGGGCATTTGTTTGTTGTCGTCTAGTGTAGTGAAGTGTCCAGAAGTTGGTAGGACTTCTTAGGCCCTGATATGGAATTGGATGGATGCACCATAGTAGGTGGGCTTAATAATTTCTATTATTGTGTGCTTTTTATTGTAGGTTGAGCCTGCTAGTGGTATTGGATGCAAATATTTGTGAGTCTTTTATTATAATTGAAAAACAATTGAACGCGTTGTTTGGTAGAAGGTAATTATTAATACTTTTTATTATATATTATATAGTAATTAGGTTATAAAATAAATTAAATTAATAAAATAATGATGCTCTATTCAGCTCTCAATTTTGAATTCTTCTAAAACTGGCGCTCTCTCGCTCTCGCTCCACGAATTGGTTACCTAAGTTTAAACCCTTAAACCCTAGGTTTAGGTTTTGAATGTAGATGTAATTATGTTAGGGGTTGTGAATGGATATGTTTGTTTTAGTGAATGTTGCTTCATTTGTGCTTAATTATGCTTGGGTAAGTTACTTAACTCTTCCCTACTATCCTACAATTAAGTTAACACTAGGTGAATCGTTGTTGCCCACTGCGCATGAGGCTCCTCGATAGCGTCCCATTTCTTCAGCTAGAAATCACGGGGAAGTTAAAGAAAGGGGATTTGGGAATTGAGGGGAAAACCTCCGCGGGAATTGCTGCGAGTCAAAAGATTATGATCTCTCGGATTGGGAATTCGTTGAAGGGGTCGTTTGGATGGGGGATTGTAGCGTCCCGGATTTCATTACAATCTTGTGTTTGCCGATGTAAAAAAAGAGGGATTTTTTCCATAAAGAAATTCGAAATGCTGCATTTGCGCTATTTTAAAATAGGGTTATAGGTATAATATGCCTCTCTACTATATTGGTTTATCAGACATGGCCCTCTACTATTTTTTACATTAAACTTGCCCCTATATTTTGGAAAAATTATCAAACATGCCCCTTATGTTAAAATTTCACAAAATAATGGTCAACCTCGATTGAAACGAGATTCACACGAACCGACATCAACAAAATTGGGGGGGGGGGGGGATTTTTAGTTTTCCCCCTCATTTATTTCTCTAGGTCTTGTTAAAAGTGAAATTATTAGATGTATTTGGTTATACAAAAGAAACAAAACAATTCTAAAGTGAAATTTTTAGAAATATTTTAGACATTTTTTTCCTTCAAATAAAGGTCCAACCATGTTTCGCTAACGCTGTTAAATTTTGTAACGGAAATGGCTATATTTGTCATGAAACTTTCAAAATTCTGGCTATTTTTGGTATTTTGCCAAAAGTGACTATATTTGGCAAAACCGTCAAAGTTTTGACTACACAAATGTATTTTGCCTAACGGTACGCTTACTGGACTGCCAACTCACCAGACACGTCATCCACAACTCAACCTTTGATGACACGTGGATTGACACGTAATTTTTAATTAAAATAAAATTCTTAAGGGTTTTTATACCTAACTCATCCTTCATCGTGGTGTTCTTCTCCTCCCTAGTCGCCGGTCAATAGATCCGACCGCAACAATGTTAATCAACCAGAGCTAAGACGAATGCGACGCTGACAGATGCAATAAATGATTAGGCAACGATTACGACGATGAGAGAGATGGCTGCGAGAAGAATAAGAGTTAAGACGAATGCGCTTCAGCCCTGACGCCCAGCTTCAGGTCCGACGAATCTGCTTCAGCTTCGACGCCCAACTTCCTCCCTCTTTGGATTTCCACCCCTTCAATGGCGGTTCCCACAAAAACACCTAAACCCACAAAACAAATCTCCCAGAACCCTTCTTTTCTATTTCAGTAGACCAAGAAAACCCCAAACCCAAATCTCAGTGGAGATTGTACAGAGAGTAACTCCAGATTCGTCGGTTGGGGGGGGGGGGGCAGAGAAGAAGAATACGAGTAATTGGGGGCAAATAAAAGCGATTTCCTGACTTCTTCCAAACTCTTCTGCGACTGCTCCATGTTCTGCTGCTTTTAGATTCATCGTTCTTGTTCGTCTGGCACTGGTCCTCTCCCCTGCGACGAACCTCAAAATCGGGGATGAGAGAGAAGTGGGTGGGGATGGCTGAAGATGGTGTGGCAGTGAAGTCGGAGCTGGTGGTGGTGGAGGCAGAGACGATTAATGGTGGCGGAAGCAGAGATGATTTTGGACGAAAGGCGATGGAGGTTGTGGTCGTGGGATTTGGCGGCGGAGAAGAGCTCTTCCGCCTCTTCGTCGTAATAGGGAGAATGGGAAAGTGAGAATGGGCATGTCGCTTCCTCATAAAACTCCTTAATTTTGTTTTTTTTAGTTTTTTGTTAATCCACGTGGGTAATACGTATAGGAAAAAAATTGCCAGCTCAGACGATCTGTTAGTCCAGTCAGCACGTTAACTCACACCGTTAAAGAATTGGACGGAAGTGGCTATTTTTGGTATTTCGCCAAAAGTGGCTATATTTGGCTAAATCGTCAAAGTTTTGGCTACACAATTGTATTTTGCCTTAATAAAACTATATAGTAGAGAGACATATTATACCTAAAACACTTCTACTATGCTATATAGTATTGGTGCTTTAATGTATAACTTAAAGTTGTACCATAACATTAAATGTATAAGTTTAGGTTGTATCATAAAGCAATTTGTACTATTATGTTATGATACAACTTTACAACTTGAAGTTGTACCATCACATAAAGGTACAAGTTCAAGTTGTACTATAAAAGAATTTGTACAAAAAGTATAGGTACAATCTGAAGTTGTACCATAACATAAATGTACAGTTTTAAGTTATACCGTAAAGCCGATAAGCTCCAATTGAATCATAAAAATTACAAAACAACGGTTCTTTCGTATATTTATTGTTATTCGTGAGAATTAGTTCATTTTGATAATTTTTACATACTACCATACTATGCATATTGCATGGTAAAATTTCTCATTATATCTATAACCGTTTAAGTCACTTTTTTCCCGCTTATCCCTAAAATATCCCCGCCATTTTATTGTCAATTTTTTCGCTCCAGCCACATTGTGACCGTCCTCCTCTCTACTTCGCCTCTCTCCAACACAACTGAAGCGACGGACGACTAAGAACTGCAGTCCAACTCTTCAACCGACGAACGGCCAGGTAAGAGGGAAGAGGGAGGACGAGCCCAGCCCCGCGACGGTCGCCTGCAAGGACATCGGCGAGAGAGTTCCAGGTTAGTTTGCTTGTCTTGTGATGGGGATTAATGGGTTTTAGCTTTCTTATTTTCGGGATGGTTATGGCCTGATTACCAGGGTTTTGGGGCTTGCGTTCTTTCTCTATGAGGTTGCAGAATTATGGCTTTAGGAATTTCGTAGGCTGCGGGTTTGGGATTTTGCTTCCGATGAGTGGCCCTGTGTGTGTGAATTTTTGGTTTTCCCTTGGTTCTGATGAGTGCCATGTGTATGTGAATGGATGGAATATGTTATCTGGTCTTTGCTTCACGTTTTGGTGTGCTTTGTGTAATGGATTTTTGGGTTTTTATTCTTGTTTGTGTTTGCTATCAAGGCTGGTTAGATAGGTACCTGATTAGATTAATACTATGCAAATGTTTGATAACTTGTATGTATTGTATACAATGGTTGCTTTCAAGGCTCGTTAGATTAATAAAATTGAAGTCTTATGCATTTGAAAAAGGATGTCAAGGCTGTCATTGATGTCTTCAAGGGAAAGGCGCAAGATGATCGCTGCAATTGGCACATTTTGGAACCTTATAGTAATATATGGTGAGTTAGGAATGGAAGTAACGAGGCTATTAGAAGCCGAAACAGTTAAACTGTAGAATTGGTAGGCAACCTCTGGATGTTTACATAGTGAGACACTATGATACGCAGAAGGAGATTCATCTGCACGAGAAGTAGTGACACTGAGGGTCATAGAAGGATTAGGATGAAGTGTAGCTTATTCAAGAAGTTGTGACCTATTAGTTGTAGAGGGTCAGTTGAAAAGGACGAGAAATGTTGACATAGATGAAATGGTTCTCACTTTTCTACTAATTATTGCCCATAACGACAAAAATAGGAGTATAGCTGTAGATTTGCGTACCTAGTGAGACCAACAAGCAGTGCAACATGAAACGTACATATAGAGAGGCGGCTTGTTGAAACGATGTGCCCAATCGGTTTCACCCAAATTGAACTTGTTCAAGTAGTGGCTTTAACCTAGAGCTAGTTTGAGAGATACTGCTGCCTTTGCTTTCCTGTAATTTCCTTCATCTAGATGCTTGCTGCATTGTAGGAAAATGGTGGGACTTTCGCTGGGGGAGAAGCATTTCATTAAGGGGGGCATCGATCAGAACATCCGTAGTGATGGCCGGAAGAGAGACTATTACAGGCCGATTTTTGTCGAAACTGGTGTAATTCCTCAGGTAATAGCTTAAATGTAGCTTCATGTATTTTTTAATATATATTTGATCTTCCCCTTTTGTCGAAGTTTGATCTTGTTTTGATTTATTGATAGGCAAATGGCTCTGCTCGTGTTCGAATGGGGGCAACTGAAGTTATTGCCAGTGTGAAGGTAGTTCAAAAACAGGGTTCTTAGGTTTACCCCGTTCTTCCTTGTTTTCAGTCTGATTTAAGGTTTGAGTGATTACTATTATGCAGGCAGAGCTCGGAAAGCCAAGTGCTTTGCACCCTGACAAAGGCAAAGTCGTCATATTCGTTGATTGTAGTGCTGTTGCTGAACCGACATTCGAGGTTTTCTATTTCAGCTCTTGGCATTTCTTATTCTTCAGTACTTCAATGTTGTTTCAAGAGTTGATTCATATGTGCAAGTGTAATCCAGGGAAGAGGGGGCGAGGAGTTATCGGCTGAACTCTCAGTTGCCCTTGAACGCTGCCTCTTAGGTGGCACAAGTGGAGCAGGTTTTTGCTCTTACTGAAGTCATAGGCTGATTTGTAATTTTAATGGCACTACTCCATAGATTGTTGATCATCCAAGTGGGTTGATCTTGTTGCAGGTGCAGGAATCGATTTGACTTCCTTGATTGTAGCAGAAGGAAAGATTTGTTGGGATCTGTATATCGACAGCCTTGTCATTAGTTCTGATGGGAATCTACTTGATGCCTTAGGTGCTTCCATTAAGGTACCCTATGACGATCCACTAGATGCTTGATGTATTTTTTCCATTGTAGTTCTATAGCTCAAAGTTGATGAATCAAACTCAAGCAAGTTAATAAATGGGTTATAGGTATAATATGCCCCTCTACTATGTTGTTTTATCAAACATGTCCCTCTACTATTTTTAATGTCAAACATGCCCTTGTACTTTGAGAAAATGATCATACATGCCCTTATGCTAAATTTTTTAGCAAAAAACAGTCAACCATGGTCGAACCTTGGTTTGGGCGACACAAATGTCTAAAATTTCTCTAATAATTTAACTTTAGATTATTTTTTTTGGTTTTTTATAGCCAAATACCTCTAATAATTTCACTTTAACGGGACCTAGAGAAATAAATCAGGGAATAAAACTGACATTTTCCCTATCATTTGCTGATGTCGGGTGGTCTAAATCTTGGATCAACCATGGTTGACAATTTTTTAATGAAAAGTTTAACAAAAGGACACATTTGATAATTTTTCCAAAGTACAGGGTCATGTTTGATGTAAAAAATAGTAAAGGGGCATGTTTGATAAAAGGACATAATAGAGGGGCATATTATAACTATAACCCTTAATAAATCGGTTATAGACTTATAGTTAGCAGTCTAGCCTGTTTAGGTTCCATATTCTATACATATTGGATGGAGAGCTTTACGGATAAGTTTGTAAAGATTTCAATGGTTGAAGGGCATGTGAGTACAGGTTTTTTCTTATGGCATGAGTTCAGCTTTTTAGTGCAGGGTCACATTTCATATCTTTCCGTGTAGTCGAGTGACATAAAATAAGTCACTAATACGTAAATAAATAAGTTGGTGACTTATTTGAATGCTCTTGTGATGGTTTTCTTATAAAACTCCATAAGGCTGCCTTGGCTAATACCGCCATCCCGAAAGTCAACATCTCAGCTGCTGCATCAGCAGATGAACAGCCGGAGGTGGACATAAGCGACGAAGAGTTTCTACAATTTGATACTTCTGCAGTCCCTGTAATAATCACGCTAACACAGGTAATGATGTATTTTCTGATTCGTTTAGTCTGTAATGTTGAATCACTTGTTTATGTTCTAACTCAAAACTTTGACTCTATTTTAGGTAGGGAGGCATTATATTGTGGACGCAACATCAGAGGAGGAATCCCACATGAGCTCTGCGGTTTCCATTTCCGTCAATCGTAAAGGGCACGTTTGCGGGTTGACCAAGCGAGGAGGTGAAGGCCTTGATCCCAGCGTTGTTTCTGATATGATTTCGGTTGCTCAACACTTGAGCGAACTGCTGATGAGCAGATTGGATTCTGAAATCTCAGCAGCAGAGGCCGAAATTGGAGACGACGAAGAATCGTGATGCTGACGAGACTTTCGAGAACCAGTTTTGACTTTTAGTTATCTAATGATCATTTTTTGATTTTTAAGATTGCTGTACTTCTGATAACTTACTTGCTAGCAAATGTCAGATTGTTATGACTTACGGTGATCGACGATTACTGCAGCTCGGTCGTTTTTGTTGTATTTGAAAATGAGCGCTTTGGAAAAAAATATTTGGATTTTTATGGATTTATTGTATTATAGATTTAAAGAGTTTATTGTTTGCAACTTTGCAAGAATGATATATTTATGATGAATTTGTTGCGAACATCTATTGCCATGATAGATTTTCTGTCTTTCCACCAAATTTCAACATATGTACATAAAAAAGATTGAATCTGAGGATTGTGAAATTGTGTCGGAATTCGGAAAGGTTAGTGGTAGAATATTTTGCTATAAAATTGTTCTTTAACCAAAGTTAAACTGTTTTTTATTGGCAAAGATTGTCCATTTTGGTCCAGTATCTGATCACATTCATCCGTGCAGATTATTGTCAGTGGTTAGCACATGTCAACAACTACCTCATCTCAAACCAAGTTTAATCTAAAATGGCGTTGTCGTATAGTGACAATCAATGTCGTATTCACTCGGTTCCTGATACCCTAGCCTACTTCCCACGTTATTGTTATCTAGCCGATCTGTTTAACGGGTTTGTGTTGGAGGATATGAGCGAACTAACTAGTCTAGAGATCAAATAAAGATAAAAGCAGGTACTTCGGCGAACTATCCCTCACCCTAGCCTTGGACTACCATGAAATGTCTAGATACTTATGGTTTGTCGAATGTGGTGAGTGAGCTATTTTCCATAGGCTTTCATAGGGGTGTTCAAACGGCGTGATAACCGTTTTAACCGGTAGTATTTGGATAATTTGGTTTGGTTAATTTGGATAATTGGTTTGGTTTGGTTAAACTTTTTAGTTTTGGTTTAGGTGGTTTGGTTTGGTTTCGGACACTCCTAACCAATCAAACAAAATTAAATAGTTAAGTAATTACCTATATATCTAATATAATATATATACATACTTAGCTTTGATAACCACCGAATAGTCAAATGTAAGATAATTGTATTAGTTACATGTATTTATGTTAAGGCCTAACTATAATTTTGTGTTGATTGTTATGTGTTATTCATTATATAAACTGCGAATTAATGCACTAACCGAAATTTTTTCTCACTTAGTGATAATGAGATGGTATATTGGTTATCTTGGTTAACCAAACCAAAATTTTTTGAAAGGATATAGGAGTGGGTCTACTATCCAACCGAAATTGCACAGCCCCGAAGTTGATGGTTCATTTTATAACGCTTGAAGATTAACAAGATAGCCAAACCGAGATGAAGAGATCGATGTAGTTGCATACTATGGAAGAAGGTGACGTCTCAGGCAGTCAAATTGTCCTTGCTCTGGTTCTTTCTACCCACAGACCTAGCAATAGGGGTGACAGTCGGTCGGTTTCGGTTTAACCGAAAACTGAAAACCCAGTTACCGGTTAAACCGACTCACCCTGCATACCTGCCGACCGACCGTGAGAGTGGTCACGGTTAGCCGGCCAACCGAAAATTACCTTTTCTAAAAAAAAAAAATTTAAAACCGAAAATTCTGCACCACTCATTAGGAGTCCTAACCCCTCAGCCCTCTCACTTCTCGATTCTTCTTCTTCCTTTCCAGTTTCCAGAGAAACCTATCTCTCTCCCTACTCTCTCTCGAATCTTGATTCTCTTCTTCCTTTCTCGACAAACCCGAAATCGCCTCCCTCCTACCCTCACCTCTCTCGTTCTGCCCTCTGCCTCCCCGTTGACGGCGACGGGAACAGCGGTGGAACTCGCCGACATCCTCTTTCCCCTCTTTCCTCCGACGAGGAATTTCAACCCCTCTTTCCCCTTCTCAGTCCTTTACTCCCTGCCTAGCTCCTCTTGCCGTCCTTTCCCTGCAAAAACAAATCGAAAAGCAATCTAAGAAATTAGAACCCCATACCCGCCTCTAAAAGTCCCTCACCGACAAATCAACCTAGCTCCCCTAACTCGACCCAAATCGTCGCTTCTCTCTACCTCATCTCTTTACTCCTAATAACAAATCGAGGAGAATGGAAGAATGCCAAGACGGCGGCGGAGCGGGCAAGACGATGGTAGGCGACGGTAGAAGAAGGTGAGATCAAGTTCTCTCACTTGCATGTCGAATTTTGAGGGTTTGATTTTGGTTTTTGTTTTTTATATGTGTTATTTCTTTTGGGTTTTGTTCGCGGGTGAGAGGAGAAGAAGAGGTCACCGCCGGCGAAGCTGATGCTGCCTGCTGGTGGGTGGAGGCTGCGCGAGAAGGGAGAGGCTGCAGGGAGTGGTGGATTCCGCTGGGGAGTCGGAGGTTGTGGAGAAGAGGATGGCGGCGTCTTCGGTGGCGGCGGCGGAAACAAGAATCCGCAGCAATTGATGAGAGTGTAGATCTTCTTCTTCTTCTTCTTCTTCTTCTTCCTGTATTTGGGATTTTTTTTTTTGATTTAAGATTTGGGAATGGGGATGAATCTGGACATATTTTGGGGAAGCTGAAGTGGGTCTCGATTGGCCCGGTTAGTCGGATAACCGCGGTTAATCACCGTCGGTTACTCGGTCAACCGACCCCTTCCTTTTCCCATCCGACCACCGACCGTCAAGGTAACCGGTCGGTTTTCGGTTAGCTGGTAACCGGCGGTTACCCGCTAACCGCAAACCGAAATGCCAGCCCTACCTAGTAATCACGTAGTGGATGAGCAGGTACTCCGGTTTCACCTCACTAACTTACAGATCTCTTTACTTTGGATTTATAGAAGGACTTGAAACATGGAAAGTCGGATTCCCTTGTCAAGGTAGCAAAAGCGTCCGGTGAGTGGACGAAATCCGCCGGGTAAATATCCATGGCTCTTGTAAATTCTCAGATCGATAGTTGGCGATGCTCTCCTCCTTGTTGGAATTGGATGTTGTCTTCAAGGTCGACAGCACCTCTCATATCTTGAATGGTAAGAGTACTAATGAACTCCAGAACAAGTACCCCATAAATATTTTCTTGAATGGATAGCAAATTAAGCCATTATGACTTTTGAATCTTGGATCGGATTGTATCCTCGATACTAAGTTGTGCGAAGAGTATCCAGTCGAGACATATACTCTTGCCTAGAGGAAGTCATTGAAGCCACAAAAGTTTGGTCTTAAATTTCTTGGGGACATTTTCCATGAAGTAGTGAGTGATGTGTTCTATGCCGCCTCCGACATTGGCTCGATAATCTTGAAGAATTTCCCTTGATAGATGTGGGAGAAGTGATGGTGGATGTGGTTATTCAACAACTACTGAACGGGATTTTCTTGTTTTCTTCTGATGGCCTTGTTGAGGATGAGAGGTACGAGAAGATGAACTTTCACCACGAGCCATTCCTTTAGTCTTGTATATTATCCTTCAAACAAGTAGTACATAATGCACAAACCATTAATCCAAGCATCACATATCATAAGGATAATTTTCAATGAACTAACATAAAATCTCTAAGTCCCCCCCCCCCCCACTTGAGTGAGACTACGACTTGGGTAAGAGAGGGGACTTAGATAGAGATGGAGTTCCAATGCAATGAATAATGAAATGATTTCCCCAATAAATGCAAAATCAAGCAAATACGAATTGACCAATGCAAATAAGTTAATGCTCAATAAAGGAAGTGTGGGAGAAAGGCAATGTCATGTAGAGAAAAAAGAGATGGAGCGAAGCGCTGCCCTAGATCTCGCAGCGATTCGAATCCCACGTTTCGTTCGCGGTTGACTCTTCCCCCGTGGGACGGACGGTTCGACGCCATTCGCAGATCTAGTTGCTCGCCGCTTCTGAGCAGTCGATCCAACCGGCACCATGTCGACCGCAGGTGCAGCACCGATCACTATGAAGGAAGTGCTGACGCTTCCAAGCATTGGGATTAGTCCAAGCATTGTGGCGGACGTGTCTCTGCTCGCCGACGAACCACCCGGGGTCGTTCTGCTGCAGCTTCCACAAGAACCGGTCGTCGGCGACGAGTAGCCGGCCGCCCTGGAGGGAACTGGTTGCAGCAGCGGCGATGGCGAAGGCGACCAGAAGTGGCGGAGGAATTTCCAGCCCAGGCCGTCCAGGTTTTGCACGATGAACGGCGGCAGCGGCGTGGCGGTTTCGGGGGCAGAAAGGTGAGAAGACAGACGACGGTTACTGGGTAACTGAACAGACGGTTCCGGTAAGATCTGCCGCAAGTAATTGGTAACTGTATTTTTTAATTAATTACAATTTCACACTTTTTGGAATGGCGTAACTGCTCCAGGTAAGTAACTCAAACAGACTCTTCAGTTTCCTTTTTTTACATTATTGCAATTTAGTCATTTTTTATTTCATTTATCTTTGTAATTAACCGCTTTACATTTCCTTCATGATTTATTAGTAAATTTTATTTGTTTTCTTTTGATACTTACCCTCTCTTTTATTCAATTTATTTGTCAATTTCGTCCGTTTTATTTTTTTGTTTTTCTTTATCTATTTTAAAAAAAAAAATTAATTTGACATAGCTTTGTATTCGGTGTATCCGACTAAGCCTTAATGGCTTGTTTAAGTCCATTTGGTGGAACTTAGTTGTCCTTCAGTGGGGACGCTTGTGTGTTTTGTTTGTTTTTTTGTAGGGGCACGCAGAAGAGCTCCCGTTATCGGAGAGTCTTCCTCAGACAGGTGACTTGGCTCATGATCAGGATGGAACTATCGTGCAGGATGCTCAGAGCTCGGCTTCTCTCTGTAGTTGGGTTTCTTACTATTTTGTTCTCTGTTGTCTCAATAGGGCTGCCCATCATGTGGCATAAAAGGCCCTCTCATCGGGAGTTCGACTATTGGTCGACTCCCGCGCTCTTTTTATTTTCTCTGTATGTCTGATTTTATAACAACTGACTCTCCGGAAAAAAAAAAGTTAATGCTCAATGAGTAGGATTGAAGAAAGTGAAAACTATGTAGTTGGGGAATTTCTATGAACACTTGGTGGGGGGTCTTTGATAACTAAAGAAATGAATGAAAATAGCCCACCAAGGTCTCCCAAAATGTATAGTAAGCTCATTAAAGCTAAGAAAACAATCTAAGTTCATCAAAAAGTCATGCCAAGATGAAGATAGGAATTTCAAGATCTCAAGGCATTCAACACATGTTGAGAAAATAAGGTGATTACAATATGAGGAAATGAGAAAGTGTACCTTATCTTGCTAGGAGACATGTTGGGAATCCAAAAACAATTAAAATATTTTCTCAAAAGATGTTGGAAATTGTAAATAGAGAAGGTATGCTCAACAAGAGGGGGGGGGGGGTGGAGAAACATGGCATGTAGATCTACAAGATGAGATGAAGAGACTACACATGGATGCTATATGGAACCTTTAAATAAGCAGGGACAAGATCGCGGGCTATTAACACGAGATCGCGATCGTGATCTCTATTATGTCAACCACGATCTTTGCCCTGATCGTGACAACATGTTTCCACCAATTCCTTAAGGTTAAACATTCATCTAAATCATTCAAACATCCAAAGACAAGAAAAGGCAAGAGCTAAGTCATACCAGTCATACTCAATGCAATTCTAATGTCTACTCAAGCAATTATTTAAAAAGAAAAAGGAAAATATACGCAAACTGAGTTGTTGGGTTGCCTCCCAATTAGCTTGTCTTTTAGATCGTTTCACCGAACCATCGTCTTCAAGTTCTCGGTCCAACTTAGAACCTCCTTATAATTGAGGTTATCGTCGGTGAGTCGATGCCTCAAGTCCCGAGTTTTGGATGTCCCAAATGAAGTAGTCGACCATTGGACTTGGCAAGATTTTAGTCTCCACCCAAGAGACCTCTTCTTCTTTTCTCTACTCTTCTCCTTTCCCAACACCATGTAACATAATCTTGGTTGACCGTCATTAAATCCACCAAGAGGGATATTTGACCGTGTGGCCTCAGTTTGGCAAAGAGTCCCAAAGGGGTCCTTTTCTAAGAGAGCGTAAAGGTCAAGTTGAACACCAAATGCACTTGGAACCGCCTTTCCTTTTTCTTTGAAATGTGGCTCCATGTAGGAATGAACAAGATCTTCCTCTTTCTCGACGCTCTTTCCTTCTTCCCGAATGTGGTCCATCTCCAAAGAACTTGCTTGCTCAACGATATCTCGGGAGCTCTTCGAGATGAGTCTGTTTTGCTTCTTCAAGTCTTCTTGGCTAGCCTCTACAACCTCTTTTTTCATCTCGTTTGGTAAGGGAGGATCACTAGCAAGTTTTGCTCACGCTTGCTTAACAATCTCACCTAGTCTCTCCGTTTTTCGGAGCATCTCCTATATTGTCCATAGTAAAGAGTAGTCGACATGGTTGGTGGATGAGGATTCCACAACGGAGCACGCTTCGGTATCTTGAGTGAAATGCTCCACTAAGAGCTCTAAATGGCTTTTTGATTACGGTTGTGGAAGACTAATTGCATTAAACTGGGAGGCTTCTTGTAATTCCCAAAGGTAAATTTGTTCTTCTTGGAATGAGGGTGCATAAAAGAATAAGAATTCTTGACTTCCTCCATGTTGATTGTTCCGTGAAGTTTCGGGGTAGTCATCTTTAGCTAGTGATGAATACCCCCACACTTTGGTGAAGTCAGAGGGTCCATGATTCGAAATGTATAATCAACAAAACTCTAAAGGAAAGATCAGACAAACAAAACCCACTTTTCGGGGAGAAGAGTGGATGAAAACAAAGCACAAAAAGGGAAAATATATTACGAAATATTGCTACTACTACTAATAATAATAAAGGATAAGGACTAAACTAACAACTCAATGATTTTCTACTAGTTACCAAGGTTTTCCGGCAACGACGCCAATTTTTTTTATCACATTCATCCGTGCAGATTATTGTCAATGGTTAGCACATGTCAACAACTACCCCATCCTAGGCCAAGTTTAATCTAAAATGGAGTTGTCATATAGTGGCATAAAACAACCTTAATATGAATTGTAAATAACACTAATTTAGATGTTATATGTATCCGATATTTCACGTCCGGCCGAAACGGTAGGATTTGTCAACCATTGATTTGACATCCAACAAACAACAGGTTTAAATAAAATCCATCAAGGTTGGGATGACTCAAATCCAACAAAGAAACCAACCCTTCCCTTAAACAATGAGGTTGCCTTTTCTCATTATTTGGAGGATATAATAAAATTAGGGTTGAGCAATTTCTATTGAAGCAGCTGCTCAGAAATCATGCGATAAACAAGATGCTGATACTCATTGTAGCTAAATAATTTTCATGATCGATATAAATGGCTACACTTACGCTTTTGCCCTACATTTAGCTTCTACTGATCAATTATAGTCGATTGCATTGACTATGTGACCCTCTCAATCTTGTCTCTGCACTTCCTAGCTTCCATCTCATTCCATAGCTTCATCGCCAAACGATCCATTCCACACTGTTGAAGTCCATTGTAAATGTCCATTACGATGTCTAAAGTGGGAGTCAAACACCTGTCAAACATCTCTAACAAGACTTTGCCTGCGCCGTCAAAATCCTTGATCTTACAAAAGCCAGCAATCAACGTATCAAATGTCTGCTGGTTTGGATGACACCCGCTCCTTACCATAGACCTATATAGCTGAAAAGCACGATCCGGGTTGTCCCTTGCACACTGCCCTGTAATAAGTGCAGAAAACGTAGAAGAATTTGGCACCAATCTCTCCTTGTCAAGTTCCTTCACTAAATACGCAGCTTTCTTGGTCTTACCCTCTCTGCACAAACCCGAAATCATTGCATTGTAAGTCAGTATATCAGGCTTAATGCCAGCTCTCACCATCTCCTGATAAAGCATATCATTCATCTCAGAGTTCCCCAGTTGGCTGAATCCATTGATCAAAGTGTTGAAAGTCACGATATTAGGAACGACATTGCTGAGCTTCATTTCACTAAATACTCTACTCGCTTCCTGCAGCTTCCCTTCCTTCGCAAACCCATTGATCAAAGTGTTGAAAGTAACCACGTTTGGCTCCATCCCATTCTTACCCATCGAGGTTCTCAGCTTCATCGCCGAGCTCAGAAGCCCCTTCCTGCAATACCCTGCAATCAGAACATTGTAAGAGGCGATATTAGGCGCTAATAATCGGCCATTCTCCAAGTCGCTGAAGAGCTCAACTGCCTTCTCGATCTTTCCACCTTTGCAGAAAGCAGCCATAACCATGTTCAAAGTGTACACATTCGGCGTTATCCTACACCTCCTCATCTCGCCATAGAACCCCAATGCGATATCCGGTCTGTTTGAACCAAGCAGCGCGCTCAAGTACGCATTGCAGGACTCAACAGTGGGGAAAAACCCATAATCCTTCATTCGAAGAAACAAATCAGTAGCAAACCTGAACTTCTTCGACCGCGCATAAACGCTGAACAGCGAGTCGAACACTCGGGGTGAAGAATCGCAGACCCTGTACGAGTGGAGCAATACATCGAACAGCTTGTCGGCAGAGTGTGCGGATGACCTGATTCCGAGTCCATCCTTCAAGATTGATTCCGCGGACTTGAATTTGCGATTCTTTGTCAAGATGTGGAGAATGATGGAGTGGGTTTCGACAGTGAGGGAATCCGGGCTGTGGGTTTTAACCCAGTTGAAGAACTCGAGGGAGAGGACGTGGTCTCGCTGGATTTTGAGGAGGACGTGGGTGATCCGAAAGGGAGTGAAATGGGCGGGTGGTGAAAGCTCGAGCTTTCCCCAGTCGGAGTGGATTATGTGGCTGTGGGCAACGTTGACGAAGTCCAGGTCCTGCCCTCTGGCTTCCGGGATCGATCGGTGGGGGATTGGGATTAGATTTATCCGGTTCCCGGCGTAATCGGCGGGAGGTACAGTTGAAAATCGTCGACGAAGGACGATAGGGATGGATTTGCCGGAGGGAAGTTTCACCATTTTGTTTTTCCATGAACCGGATCGAATCGAGTTATGTTCAATTCAAAGCTTCATCCTTAATCGCATTTGGGCTTTATTGTCCGTAAACAAAATGTAGCCTTCAATAATTTATTTTACTACTTTACGTCTTCACTTCGTTTGGGCTTGTAAAGGTTTGATCCATATCCACTATTAATAGTCTAATATCTTCTCCGTTTATTTTCGGAGTTGCTATTTATCGTCATCAAAATTTGTTTAAATTTACTCTAATATCCTTTATTTTTTATTGTCTTTCAAACGCTAAAACCCTAAAACAAACACATACACTACTCCAAATAACAAAATACAAATACAAGGTTCATAAAAAAAATAACAAAATACAATCCAAGAAATAACACCAAACAAGAAGAAGAGAAAAAACAACCCATACACTAACACTTCACCATGGTTTGAAGAACAATTTCGGATTGGAACTTTTTACGGTGGGCTCATACATGAAGACAAGATCCTCATTGACTCTCTTTGTCAAGGGAGGTTGATGAATATGACCCCTCCTCAAGTGACCCAATTGCTAGAAGATATGACCCTCTAATGATATGATTGAGAATTGACCAGAAGTGGGAAGAGAAGCAATGAAAGAGGAGTAAGAAGTGTGGGAGCAAGTGCTCCACTTGAAGCAAAACTTGACAAGTTGATCGAGGTAATTCTTGAGGATAAGAAGCAAGGGAAGAGAGAAGTGATGTCTAGTGGCTGGGGTGCAAGTGCGGACCAGGAGGAAGCTGAGTGTCACATGGTAAGTGGGGAACCGGCTCAATGCGAGCAGTTGTACTCCATTGCCCCTGGACATGTCGACCAGATGTCGAACCTGGATGAGTTAGTGACGACCTTTGCTGCCTCCAGCTCGAAGAAGTTTGAAAGAATTGTCAGGTTCATAGGAGAAGGGATAGAGAAATTCTCAACCATAGAGGCGGGGTTGCAGAGTCACCAAACACTCTTGACAACCCTAACCACAAGTGTGGGGATTATCTCACAAGCAGCTCGCTCCCGAAAGCAAGCCGATGAAATGGAAGTGGGTGTGGTTACTCTTCGAAGTGGAAGAGAGGCCAGGGAGCTACCCCCAAAGAAGAAAGCGCTCGCCTCAGAGGAGCAACAGTTGGCTGGTAGCCCTCCCGAGCAATAGGAGGTTACGAGTGCAACAGAAAAGGAGAAGGCCGCTTCAATCCCCCAACCGGAGCAAAGGAAGGAAAAGGAAGCTCCAACTCTTCCCTATCCTTCTCGACTCTGAAATGACAGTATGGCAGCAGAGTTTGTCCACTTTATGGAGTTGATGAACCAGTTGCACTTAAACATCCTCTTCATGGAGGCCGTCACCTAGATGCCCAAGTACGCAAAATACTTGAAGGACCACCTTTCCAACAAGATGAAGTTGAAGGGGATAGCTATGTTGAGCTTGAATGAAGAGTGTTCCGCCATCCTGTAGAACCACCTGCCCACAAAGCGCAAAGATCCAAGGAGTTTCACTATCCCTTGTTTTATTGGCAACATGTGCATAGGAAAATCCTTGGCGGATCTAGGAGCCAGTATAAATGTGATGCCTTATAAGTTGTTTCAAAAGCTAGACCTAGATGAACCTAGAACTACTAGGATGCATTCAGTTGGCGGATAGGTCTATTGTACGACCTAAGGGTGTCGTGGAGGACTTGCTCATTAAGGTGGGCCCTCTCATTTATCAAGTCGATTTCTTCATTTTAGACATTGATGAAAATGTGGATGTCCCACTCATCTTGGGTAGACCTTTCTTAGCTACCGCCAAGGCCTTGATTGATGTGCATGGGGGGGGGGGGGGGGGGGGGGGGAAGTTGGTGCTTAGGGTAGGGGAGGAAGAAGTTACATTCTCTGTTGATGATAGCAATAAGTTCTCTCACCATCATGATGATTTTGATTATTGCGAAGAGGTCTTTGACTTCGTGGAGGCACTCACATCCGCGGGTGCCAATACTTTTGACCCTGTTGAAGAGTGTTGTTTGGTAGGGACGAACAACTCGAACTCTTCGGAAGAGGAAAGCCAACTTCCGCAAGAACAAGAAGTGGAGGCCTTGCTCTAGATGCCAAAAATCCCTACCTCATTGGAGGAACCTCCCGAGTTGGAGCTAAAGCCTCTGCCTCCACGTCTCGAGTACGCTTTTCTGAGGGATGATGGGAAACTCCCAGTCATCATCAACTCAAATCTTACACCGGAGCAGAAGGCTGGATTAATTGCGGTCCTAAAGCGTCACGAGAGGGCGATAGCATGGAAGATCACAGATATCCGAGGGATCAGACCGACCTTTTGCTCGCACAAAATCCACTTGGAGGAGGGTGCCAAACCAGTTCGACAACCGCAAAGGCGTGTGAACCCTAACTTGGAGGAAGCAGTGAAGGTAGAAGTGATTAAGCTATTGGATGCTGGGATTATGTACCCCATTTTGGATAGTCAGTGAGTGAGGCCGTCTCAGTTGGTTCCTAAGAAAGTAGGAATGGCGGTGGTGGCCAATGAGAAGGAAGAGCTTATACCAAAAAGAACAGTGACTGGATGGAGGGTATGCTTCGACTATCGAAGGTTGAACGACGCCACTTGGAAAGATCACTTCCCTTTGCCCTTCATTGATCAAATCCTGGAAAGGCTTGCTGGACATGATTACTACTGCTTCTTAGACGGGATATCAGGATACTTCCAGATCCCAATTACTCCGAAAGATCAAGCTAAGAAAACATTTCCCATGCCCCTTCAGAACATTCGCTTACAGGCACATCCCGTTTGGATTGTGCAATGCCCCAGCAACATTCCAGAGATGCATGGTAGCCATTTTTGATAAGCTCGTGGGGGGAGATAATGGAGGTGTTCATGGACGTCTTCTTGGTTTTTGGAGATTCATTTCGTCAATGCCTTGCCAACTGACACGCCAAAACACAACACCAAACTGCGACCAAGTGTAATCGCAGTCCGGGAATGCAGTAACAGGCAAGTTCAATTATCAACCCGGGGTCTAGATCTACTGCTTACTCCGTGATTCTCTATTATCTAGCAAACTAGTTCGAGTGATTGTTGTTAAAAGCAAAAGCAGCAAGAAAGCAGTAAATTGTTCGGTTTTCAAAGTCAGGAAAGAGTCACTCGGGATTGAGTCCCCCTAGCCCCTTAGTTAGGTTCAATTGCAATTCCCTGGGTTGATTTACTGTTGATTAGACTGCGGAAGATCCGACAGTAGCTTGGAATATCTTAAGCTGACCAAGCCCTCTCAGTCTAACTACCCGGCAGATGACTAGTCTTCACCGGGATAGAAAGCTGAGGCTATGAACACAGAACTCCACTACTGGCGTCGAGAACACCAGTACAAAGCAGTAAACTGGCTAACTCTCGTATAGCCAATCTCCTACTATCGAATGAAGAGGCTCTAACAACCTAATCAGATTCTATCTATCTCAGGTTGCAGCGGAAATTGAGAACAGCTGATCAGACTCAAATCAATTCGATAAACATGCGTCATTCGATTAAAATCAAACAGTAATATCATCCCAAGTCATTACAATCAAATCCCTAACACAAGGAACTAGGGTTCTTCATACCCAAGTGAGAGAAGGGTTCTACTCCATAGAGAGAGAAGAGAAAACAGTAATCGGATTAGTCATACTCATAACGATGAGGAAAATATGCTCCGGGACGATGATTTCCACTCCTATGACGATCTCCAAGCTCGATTCGATGAAATCCAGCTCTAAGACAGCTTCTAGGATGTGTTCTTCATACTTTCTCTCTCTAGGGCTCTGTTTTTGCTCTGAAAACACGATTCTCACTTTTGGCTCGGAATAGGCTCTAAAACCAGGATTTCCCGACCCGCACGGCCAGGGTGCACGGCCGTGCAGATCACCACTTTGGCCGTGCGGCTCAAAACGCGGCGTATGGTTTAGTTCTTAGGCTTCTCACACGGCCAGGGTGCACGGCCGTGCAGGGATCCCGTCCAGCCCGTGCTCGGCCTCGGCAAAAACCACACGGCCAGGGTTGCACTTTGCACGGCCGTGTCACAATCATGGGTTGCCCGTGCGTGCTTTCGCATAATCCCGCATGGCCATCTTGCTCACTTGCACGGCCGTGCGACTCCCTGGTCTGCCCGTGCAGCTTCCTTGAAACCTCGCCATTCGTCCGATCTTCGTCCAATCGACCCCAGACTCGCTCCTAAGCCTTCATTTACGTACTAGGACCTGAAATATCACAAACAAGCACAACCTAGCGTGAAATTGGCCTAAAACACGAGAATAACACCTCAACGGTGTAAGAACGGGGGTAAAACATGTGTAATGACGGTCTATCAAACTCCCCCACACTTAACCGTTTGCTTGTCCCCAAGCAAACCAAGTCAGGACACCGGTAAGCTTACATATTTCAATCAACCACATTGGGGACAAGTCATAAAGGCACAGAACACGTGAATCGCACTGGTTTTCAAACATCAATACATGAACAACCTCAATAACAACCTGGACAACCACCACAAAGGACATTCGAGTGCAGCAAATCGAGTAAAGGAGGAACTACTTACTCAAAACAGTCAACTCATGCATCCAACTCAAGACATCAGAATAGAGACCGAGCAATGTAGGTCCTCACCGGGGTACAAGAGCATATAGAAAATGAAAATGAATCACTCACTCTCGACCAGTGGGGTCAGGACAATTTGATGCGAAAGATGCGCATGCTATTTCTCTCAATCCCTATCATCTCTTCACCATGATGGCATCCTCTAAATGCTAGAGTTCACATATGGGGTGTCACCACTAACTAATCAGGAGGTCTTAGACACAGGTTCAAATGACTGGCTAGGGTCTTGGACATGGGGAAAAAGACTTTTAGGTGGTGGAAGTATTCATAGCAAAAGGTTTCCACATTTTCCAAACACACAATCACAGTCAACAAACCGGTATTTTCTTTCTGCTATTCTGCATTACTCAATATCTCAAGAGCACAAGAGCGAAGGAGGCATAAACAT